ATCCCAATCTATCTACCCTAGTGTTAAAACCGATTATGATCCCTTAGAGTTTCCAAAAGCTCAGCGTTTTTAGCCATAGTTTACAATTCCATCGATTTTTATTTGCTTACTTAGATCTGCATTTCAATTTCCTTAGTTCGATATTTACTTGCTTTACTAGTCTTTCATTCGATATTTACTTGCCTTATTAGTCTTTCATTCGATATTTTACTTGTTCTATTGCCTTTCATTCGATTTCTTTACTTGCTTTTTAGGATAGATTTATTTGCTTTCTTTTGTTTTAGTTTAATTTGTGACAAACAACCAACCTTTAAAAACCAATCTAGTCTAGACATAAAGTTAAAAACCGTAGAAGAATACCAGGCACACAAATCTCTGTGGATTCGATCCCTAAATACTGCAACTGATTAGTTGTGCACTTGCGGCTTTCATTTGTTTTGTTAAGGGTAAAACTTGTTCCCTCACGCAGTTGACCGACACACCAGACTACAAGTGCATCCTCCACACTTACATGCAGGTGCTGGTTCATAGTTTGTGAGATCTTCCAGAAGCACATGAAGCATCCCAAAGTAATCTATCACACTGATATTGCCTTGTCTCAACTGTGCCAACTCAGCCGAGCAGTACAAATTGTCAAGGAAAAGCTGTTATATGGTTAGTGTATTGAGGAAAGATGACAAAGCTGAGCTGGAAGCCTGATCCATTCCAGCACACTCTACGGATAAGTCCTCGCCAAGTCTATTGATACCCCAGTTCAAACAGGACTTATTGCTATTGATTCCATGATCCTGATAGGACGCGGCCAGCGAGAATTAATTATTGGTGACAGACAGACCAGTAAAACAGCAGTAGCCACTGATACAATTCTCAATCAACAAGGTCAAAATGGATTTCCTGAATTCTCGGTCCATTTTTTTCAGAAAATCTGTCTTTGATCTCTTTCCACAGCTTGGATTCTCTTTGTTCGCCAAAGTCCTCCTCACTTTTGGATCAACAGTATTGAGAATCCAAAGTGCCACCATGGAGTTCGCCTAGAACCAGTCTTCATACTCTGTCGCGTCTTCTTTTGGTTTCACGACGGTTCCATCAACAAACCCATATTTCTTCTTGACTTTCATCGTCATTCTTATCGCCTGAGCCCACTCGGCAAAGTTATCTCCGTTAAAATGAACATGTGCAATTATCGCACCTGGATTCTCATTCGCGGCAAATTGGTAAGCCAACAACAATGTCTTCACTTGCTCAATTATCTTCCCGTCTCCACCAGTCATTGGGCTTGTCGAGGTTGTTTGAGAACCTTGCTCTGATACCATGAAATAATGAGAATAACGATGGTAAATTTTTTCTGTGTCTTATTGAGATGAAACCTTACAATATATATACAATCAAGAGGATCTCTAAACCTAGACGCAGAGAAATAACTCTCGTATCAGTTGCTATTCTGAGTTACCAAAAACAGAGTATAATAATATATATAGATATACATGTCGTATTACTCAAATCTCTGAAAGATATTTCCGTCGAACGTCTTCCCGCTCAACATCTTGTCTATGAATCGAATGAGTTGTTTAGTTGAGGGAGTATTATGCAACACAGTTGGTGCAGTCTAATCAAAAATTGAACTTAATTGGCACCGAAATAAAAATAAACCATTCAGCTCTATTTTTCATTTATATCTTAGTCGAACAATAACTTAGTTCCTATTACATTTGAATTCTAGGCGAAACGTTGGAATGATATAATTCATTTTTTTCACAAATGCTATCGTTAAGAGACACTTCACATATCACACACATTAAAATATATTCATTTTTTTGGTCGAAAAATAAATTCTTAATATACACATACATATGTCATTGTTTAATGTTTCACGGACTAGATGAGAATAATTTATATTTTAAGAAAATAAAAGTTAAATAGAAGTTTATTATAAAAAAAATAGGGTCGGAAATGTAAAACATCGCTCATTTGTGAAGATAAAATATCAAAACACCACTTTTTATGAAATGAAAAAGTTATTTTAAAACTCCACTTTTGTAAAACGGAAGGAAATATGATCTTACAAAAATTTATAAACATGCTAAGGTTGTCTTGATTTGGGTAAAAATTGTTGTCTGGATTTGGATGAAACCGTTTTCCCGTGAACCAATTTCTGACATGAAATGCATGATCGTAACTTGTAGTGTTACCACTTACCACATACCACTTACCTTGATTATTCGCTGTATAATTAAATACGCAAAATAAAAGTTTCGATCCACGACATGACACAATTATGCTCGTTCTCTCATTTGATTCCAAATCAAATTCAAACAAACCAAATGACGTCATCCGACCAGAATGTTTTCTTTGCGTCTAATAGTTCAATGAATCCGATTTTTATAATGACTTTTTCTTTTACACTCATTTTGTAATACTCCTGTCTCAAGTCTCCTGAAATAATCGAAAATCATATTAGGTCATCTAACCACATTCGATTAAACACCACATTCGATTAATAAACACTTGATTTGGTCGTTTCAGGTCTGCTAGGAAGGAAAACATCCATGTAACAACCTATTAGACATTACAATCAAAACTAATCTAAAATGATAAAAAAAAAAAAAAGAAGATGAGAGGTGAGTAATTAAATTACTCAGTAAGAATGAGTCTTAAACAATCCATCTATCAATTCTAGACATAATATGAAATGACATATAAAAAATCTAAACCTAAAACAGGTTCAAGAAAAGACTTCACCAATCAACAACTAATTATTTCAAACTAAACAATAAATCAATTTTTCTTAATCCATTCCATTTCCATTTTCAGCCATTAACCTCATGGATAACTGAGCCACAACTACTAGATGTTGAAGTGCCTATCATTCATAAAAGACCAATAACAAGACAAAAAGCTAAAATCCTCCAACACAAGTATAACCAAGACATAATGCAAGCAATGTTTCAAGTGGAAGCCGAGAGAAAACCATGATCAAGAGAAGTCTCATAATGAAGCCTAACAACAGCAAGTTTGGACCAGACTACTTAGAGATTGTCAAGAGATAGGAAATGGTCTAACTCCAAAGAATCAAGACTTCTGGCCCTTTTACCAAATCAAGCCCAAGTCTACATGTTCACCATCTCGCCAATGAATCTAGACACTTAAAGGGGGAGGTTCAAGCTTGGTCAAAGACACACTAATCTCGCTTCATCAGGTAAGGTAAGTCTTCAATCAATTTGAATTCTTTGACTAACCGATTTCATTTATCTTTGATCTTAATGCAGCGACAATGTAGATTAGTAGTCTTTTCCTTTGATGTTGCATTTTCAAATTAAAAACCTTGTTGTTTTGAATCTTCACTTTTAGAAGTCTTGTTGTTTTGAATATTTTATTTTTCTTGAGTCTAAGCTGCTAGAACCATTATATAAGGTCTCATTACAGTTTTGTAATTATTTACTTTTGATATTAATAAAAGTAGAATTTTTTTAATTGAGTTTTCTGAGTAAAACTTGTTCATCTCTTTTCTAGTATAAATAAAATGATAGAGTACAGATAATTTAAAATATTTATCTTTTTTGAACGTTGAATAATAATATATTAGAAAAAAAAATATTAAAAGGGTTAACAAAAAAAAAAAGAAAAGAAATTTTGCCAAATGGGGATCCGAAGTAAAAAAACGTCATTTTTCAAATGTGTGACTAAAACTCTTCTGATAAATGTTTCACCTTTGTTTCTGGAATGGTTAAATATGCCTATTAACGCTTCAAACTCTTTGTAAAGTATTTATCTATACATATGCAACGGTAAGTAAATAAATTGTATGTTTTCATATTTTTGCATAAGACATAACATGCTAATATATTTATATGAGTACATATTTTATTTTTGGAGTAAGATGATTGCACCAAACAAGCTAACAATAATCTCATCAACGGTAGGATTTATGTTGTGATATTCTTTTACTTATAACCCAAGAAGACATCAAACTGCTACAATCTCATTTAGAAAATAAATAGACTACAGTCATTCGATTCTTTTTTTTCGTCTAAAATTTTTATTGATATTCAGAATTATTGGAAAACAAATTATTACATAAACAAATATATCCATCAAATAATGAGGCCTACAATAAAAGGAGTGAATCTGACTATATTTTTTTGCTGAAAATCCTTACTCAGTAATGTATTATTTAACTCGTTATTTTTCATCTGTGTTCGATCTTCTCCAGATGCAAAGTGTGTATGGATAGCATCTTTGGGCTAAAACTCAAATTTGCACACTGCATGATAAACCCCAATTCATCCAATAATAACACTAAATTATTAACCGTTTGATACCAACACTTCTGTATCATCGTCATTCTAAAAATCTTTGACTTTGATTTTCTTCTGATGTGATCCCAATAGAGATCAACACCTCCTTTTCATTGTTATCTAGGAAACTTGCTGATCGTTTTACACAAATTTCTTCCTAAATATGTATCTCCACAATAGAAATCCTTGGATCCCAAATGTGGTGAATTTGTACATATATATAAATCTGAATTGGATAACAGACCAAACAAATAACCAATTAAGGAATGTCTGTTTGGAAAAAAAAAAAGAGAGAAAAGATAAGCCTATGGAAGAGGAATTGAAGTCATAGTGGATTTAAATGCCCCAAAAAAGTGGTGAAATATTGCATGTCACCAAATGTGTATTGGTGACAGTTCATGGAAGTAGGAAAGATCTCGGCAAACACGATCAAACCGTAGTCCGTTGAAAGTTATATATGGAGAAGAAAAGTGAAATGATGAGAATTCTCACCAACAAAGATGGGCAAATGCGGAATTATCTACCCACTCCCATTTGGTGAGTCGAAGATGGTGTTAAAGGTTTAGAGTTTAAGATTTTCTCGGAATTTCGAGTATTCTTCAAAAGTTTTGGGGTTTCATGAACCATTTTCTTAGAATATGAACTTTTGGTGGGAATAAATCGAACAAAACACGTGTAAAAACTACCAAAGTACTGCAAGCTAAATAATTGATCCAAACGATTTGGAAAATCACTTATTGTTGACCAAACTCTGACTTTGAGGAAGTCTCGGTAACATGACAAATAAACTTAAGAAAGTTTGAAAATAAAATTCAAGTTTCAGACAACCTCAAAATTTTGACAGAGACTGAGACAGCAAGATAAGCAAAAATATCAAATCCAGGATACAAAACCCTCTTTTGACTAAAGAGAGGTTTTTTAGTTTTGTTGTTGCGAGCTAACCCCTGAACCAACAACTTTATCATCGGATCGCTTTGACATTCCGATGGTTTGTTTTGAAACCAAGTCCCCGTAAGTCCAGGACTTACGTGATTTTCTGATGACAGAGACATACCAACACTTTCAAGAAGCTCCCGGGACAGCAGCTGTAGCAGTAGCATACATGTTTGAGTCCTGATTAGCATAACCGTTGTTGTAACCTTGTCCTCTTGAGTATCCTCCGTTCCATTGGTGGCCCGAGTCTCCTCTCCACTGTCATTTTCATTACAGTTAGAAGTTGAACAAATTTTGTGAATGGAATAACCATTCAACAGAATATTACAGGTAAAAGGCTACCGAGTAGGTTAATCATCCATGATGCAGACTTGATAAAGGATTTACTCAGTCATGGATGCAAATGCCAGAAATAGTTGACTCAACGCGTTGATTAAGTTTAACTAGTCTGATTACAACAACTTAATGGAGACTTAAGACAAAAATGAAACTAAAGACAACCTCTATAGATTATATAGGTCGCTAAATCATTAATCTTGAAAGCTATAAATCTTTTCAATCCTAAGAAACACAAACAGGACCATCATAACTGTTTCAGAATTGGACAATGTTCAGAGAGATGACAAGTGGCCCCAAGGAGACAGGCACTAGATTTGCCAATCAAAATAGTCAACGGAAACCGTGGGAAGGTGCTAGATTCCACTAGGTCTTTATGTCACGCAATACACCTACTCTCCATTGTCAACCACTGACTTTGACTTTAAGGATTTCTATAACTTTATAGAGACAGAAAAAAAAAAAGAACGATAAAACTAACTTTGACCTAGACCATGCTAATAGAAATGCATATAAGATTCCATTAATATTGAACACACTAAATGTCTAACTCAAGATGATTTTTTTCTGGTACCTGTTTGTTGGGGCTTCGTCCCCAAGAAAGCCGGACAGTGTTTTTCCCGATGACTGTCCCGTTCAAGTTCTGGATCGCATCTTCAGCACTCTGCCTGTCAAAACCAATGGCACGTCACTTTGCAACAACCCATCTCTACTGTTAAATAAACATCTACGGGATTGAAACAAGTCCCGCGCACAGGACAAGTTAGTACCTGTTACCAAACTGGACAAACCCGCATCCTTTTCCTACTGGGATCTTCACAGACACAACTTCCCCGAACTGAGCAAAAGGTTGCATGAGATCTTCTTCAGTAACATCAGCGTCAAGGCCGCCAACAAATATCTGCAATGTAATAAAAAGACAATTGAGCAGTGAGGAATACTGTTGCTGCCAGAGGAATAGCTAGGAGAACTCACTGTTGAGTTATTTGATTCCCCATCAGACATTGAACCATGAGCCATAGAACCATTTCCTCCATGTCCACCAGCCAATGTCAGAGCTAATCCAATGAAAACATTACAATTCACTCAAAACTTATATTCACATTCACAGGAACTCGCTTACTACTCCGGTGAAGACAGACAACTAAAAGTCATAAAAGAAACAGATAAAAAAACACTTGAATACATGTTAAGTTAACTGTAGAATACATGAAGTGACAAAGATTATACCATCAACTTACCTTGTGAACCATTTTGTTGACCGTAAGCAGCGGCTCTTTTAGGGGTTGCAATACCGACACGCATTGGCCTGCTTGAGCAGAAAGCACCATTCATTTCGTTCATAGCTCTTGATCGCTCGTTCTCATCACCAAACCTGACAAACCCGTAGCCTTTGGAACGGCCAGTGTTGGAATCGATCACAACTTTTGCGCCTTTGACAGAAGGATATCCAGCAAAAGTCTCAAGCAGTACAGTATCAGTGACATCTGGAGCCAAATCTCCTACAAATATCGATACATCTGGACCATTTTCTGATGCCCTTTTCTCACCGGTGCTGAAAGATGCCCAGTTTAAACGGAAGGGCTGCTCTGCGTTCGGCATTGTTACACCGCTATAGCTCTGAAGAACCTCCTCAGCTGCTGAACGTGAAAGGAACTCGACAAAACCATACCCTTCTGACTGACAAGTTTGCTTGTTGCGTATAACTTTCACAGAAGAGACCTGCACCATCACCAAAAACAAGAAACCAGAAAGAATATGAAACCAGAGTCGAACAAGCTTATAATGGAGAACACACACAGATTTTTGATAGAAAATAAGTTAAAACAGAGTGTTTTTAAAGCTAAAACAGAGTGTTGTTGAAAGGCATATGCACAACGATTTCTTAATGAAAAGACAACATTTGAGAAATGATCTCGTTACATGATTGGAGTGTTTATATTTTCCAATAACCAGAAAGGTCCTCTAAACGTGGCAAAGGTACTTTTCTTGCCTTATGAAAAAGAACTTTAAAGTTGTCTTTTTTAGGTCAACGTAGTTCTTCATTACCCTAAATGTCAAACCTTTAGGCTTCTACGCAATCACAATTGTCACTTAGATCTAAAACCCCAATCAAGAAGTGCAAAAAAAAATGAGAAACTTGCCAAATTTTACATTGGATTCACAGTAACGAATCTTTCCAATAACTGAAAACAACAACAAAAAAAATTCTCGGATCTGCAAACTGTGTTACATCTATCACTTTCCATGTCAGATGAAAAACAGAATTATTCAACAATCAAATCAAATCGATCTGGAATTCAAAAAAAAAACACAAACCGAACATCATAACAACAAAAAGAACGAGAGAGAAGAAGAAGACAAGACCTCATTGGTGTGAGAGAAACAGGTATGAAGATAAGCCTCGTCCATCCAATGAAGAAGATCACCAACCCAAAGTGTCTTGACATCATCTCCACCAGATCCAACACGTTGATGATGATGATTCTTCTGCTGATGATTCTGATTCTGATAAGAAGAAGCAGCAGCGTATTGAAACTGAGGATGCTGATAATGAGCTTGGTTATACGGAGCGTATTGGTGAGGATACATCATCATCTGTTGCTGCTGCATCATCGCCATAGCCGCCGCTGGATACTGCATCGCCGCCATCCATTGTTGTTGTTGCTGCCACTGTTGTTGCTGCTGAGGCGGCGGAGTCGATTGTTGCAACGGTGGCGTTGCTCCGGCGGATGTAGCCAACGCAGAATCTGAGCCGTTGTTTGTCGTCTGCATCTTTTTTTAAAAATTTACGATCCGATCTGATCTGGAAAACACACACACCACCTCCTCCTCAAGAAATTTCCAAATTCGGTCTCACTCTCTCTCTCGAGTATGGAGAAAGGTTATAGCTTTGGTGGAGCTGTGGAAATGGCGGAAACCGAGAGAGAGAGAGGATTAGATTTGGTCTTTCGAAGATAATGGAGGCGGAGAGAGAGAGAGAGAGAAGAGTGTGGATTCGGAGGGTTTAAGGCTTTTTTTTTGGTCTTTCGCTTAGGTCTGAGAGAGAAGTGGTGGGAACGTGGGGCCCAGTTACGTCTTCTCAAAGCTCTGTTTTTTTTTTTTATAATAGATCCAACGGTTCTGATTCGACCGTAGTTTTAGGGTTGACATTAACTGATGACAGTTGATGAGATGATACAATGTGCGAAATCAGGCAAATAAATATTTTGTTGGGGGGTAAAACACTAATATCGATTTTGAAAAATCTTTGAATGTTGGTTGTTATTGGGATAAATGGATTCTCTACAAAATAAGTTCATAACTAAGAAATAAATAAAAAATAGGAATTCCAAAATAAAATAAAAAACTAATAAAAAAACTTAATTAATATCTATACTATTAAAACATCAGTCTTTGTTCTAAAACATAGCCATTTAGGTGTTTGAGTCGAGTCACTAAACAAATGATCAGATTGATGTAGTTAAAAATAACTAATTAGGTTTGCGGTAAAACGATTAAAAGCATCTCCAACATATCTCTATTTTAGAGGTGAAAATAGAGATTATGCTCCAACCCACCTCTATTTTCACCTCTAAAATAGAGATTGCTATTTTTTCCTCCAAATATAGAGAGATTCTATTTTTTCCCTCTATAATAGAGGTGAAATTTTTTATTTGTAAAGTAGTCCTTTAACTTTTAAATCTTTCTATTTATGCAAAAACTATAATTTTTATGAATATAAATATGATAGATTTGGTTATAGTTAAAAAAAACATATGGTATTGTTAAACATAAAAATTCTCATTGAAATTAAATTACAAAAAAATAATTGCAAATTAAAAATACATAAAAATAAACGAAAAATAACAGCAATTTTTTTTTAATTTATAAATTTTAACTTTTAGTATTATTATAATATGTTGAAACTCTCATAAAAAGTAACATAAGTGGGATTAATTTAAAAATTTTAGTAGTCAAATGTTATTATCACTATAATTTATGAAAACTTTTATAAACAGTAAAATAAAAGATTAATTCACAAATTTTATCTATCAAAGTTAGTAGTATTATAATTTATGTAAGTTTTTATTTAAAAAAATAAGTAGGCTCAATTTATAAATTTTATTAATAAAAGGTGTTAAGAACAAATAACAAATAGAATATATTGAGAATATTATTTTTTAGAAGGAAAAATAGAGGTAACCATTGGAGACAAATGCACCTCTATTTTAGAGTTTTTCTATTATAGAGGAAAAAATAGAGGTAACCATTGGAGATGGTCTAAGAAGTGTTTAATTATTTTTAGGATATAAACTTATAAAGTTGAAAGGCGTAGGATGACTAGTATGTTTTGGGCTAAATTGATTAATGAAAAAAATTACAAACAATACAAAAATATCAAGAAGCTAGAGTAGCCTTGTGAAGCTTATGTTGTGTAAGGCCCACAGTTATTCAGTAGTCAAAATGGTATGGCTAATTGGGCTTATAATTGAATCTATTAACCATCAATATTAGTAAGGCTAAGATTATGGACTTACAATGCACTCTATAAAGAACGAGAATTGAGGGGCGATCGCATTTGCATTGCATGGTCACATGACTCACATCGTCTTTTTCGATGGACTCTCCCACTGGTAACCCATTTCAGTCTACTCGCCGAAACAAAAGCTGAAACCGGAGGGACAAAGTGGCAAATTAAAGTGCTGAAATCCTCATGGGTAAATGGCTAATGAGTAATAACTGTTTTAAGTGTTTTCTCGTCTTTCCTGGTTTGGTTGTTATTGAGCAAGAACTGAGAGCAGGAAGAAGGAGAAGAAGAGGAAGAGAAAATCTGTTGTATTGAATGAATGAAAAGTTGTTATAAGATACTCTTTTATATGATGAAGAGCATTTCCGATTATACCGGTTTACACATTTCTTCCTATACTCTAATAGTTGTCGATCATGTTACGAACTTACAACATATATGGCCTTTGTGTTTATTTCGTGTGTTTAACAGTTGCAGATATATTTATTTTTTGTTCAAAATTAAAAGTGAACAAAATATCGTTTTTTTTGCATCAATTTTAGTGAATGCATAGTTTTGTCTAATGGATGTGGTTAATTATAAAGCTTTTTTTTAAAACGGTTTGGTTAATTATAAAGCTTTAACTAATGATTACACAGCCTTTTAGCACCAAGAAAACAAACAAAAATAATGAGTACAACCAAAAAAAAAGGAAAAACATACTATAATTTAAGACTTTAAGATGATGAAAAAACAGCATCAAATACATTGAACGGCAACTTTTCTCGCAAACACATCATCATCAAAGAAAACAACCAATCAAGCCTTTTTAAGCGAATCTTCAAAACGGTTCGACAAAATCCAAAATCGATTTTAAAGTGGCGATCATTAATAGAATGGCACACGTGTGGTAGGGGGTAATTCGTGGGAGGAGAACGGTTCAACATTCTATAGGTATAGGAGCATTGGATCTGATGTCAAGGAAAGTCTCACAAGATCCAAGCCATGTGCATGCACTCTTGTAATACTCCCCCACAAGTTTTATTTAAACCTTGTCACTAATTACCTTCATATTTATTGCTTATAACTTTTTTTTCACCCTATTTATTGGTACTACATTTAGTATCTTTTTAATGAAATATGGCTGAGAAAAATTGAGACATAATAGGAAAAAACATACTATTATTTACACAAATAGGCACCAAACATACGATATACATTTATTATTTAACTTGTTTAGATATATACCTTGGTTAGAAACTTAGAATTTAAATTTAATAAAATAGAATGAATTTCGTTTTTATGACAAAAAGCTAGTTCTTAATCCTTCAAACTAATCGTATACAATACACCTGAATGCAATCTACACTACAAAAAATTCGCTGAATAACGTCATTCAGTTAACGTTATTTTGTAAACCGACTTTAACATTCTTAAAAAGATGGATTTTAACGTTTGTTTGTTAACCGACTTTAACATTTTAGTGATCTAACGTCGATTGGATCTATTAAACAAAAGCTCATTAGCTAACATTTCAATTGGATCAAAACAAATGCCTTGTTGTGAAAACTTAGAAACTTTATTAATCACTGGAATGTATATATAGAGTACATAGGGAATCTAGGTTAAGTACAATGCCCTGATGGACCTAATGGGCCGGTATAAGAGTCCATATATGATATGTGTTATAACACTCCCCCTTGGACGAGTGAACCGGGTCAGCTACTCAATCGGGATCTCGATAATGCGCTGGGGAATGTTGCCTCATTAAAACCTTACCAGGAAAAACCCAGTGGGACAAAACCATGGTGAAGGAAAAAGAGTACAACACGCATTACTCCCCCTGATTGTAGCATCACTGCAGATCTCTAAGTCTATACATTCCTATCTGTTTGACGAGCTTCCGGTGTGTTGAAGTAGGCAATGATTTGGTGAAGAGGTCAGCTGAATTCTCACTGGATCGGACCTGTTGAACGCTGAGAGTGCCGTTCTTCTGCCAGAGGTTGAGAAGAACTTCGGTAGAATGTGCTTCGTCCGATTTCCTTTGATATATCCTTCCTTGAGCTGAGCTATGCATGCCGCGTTGTCTTCATACATCACCGTGGGCTGTGTGTCTTCGTCCATACCACAATCTCTGCGGATGTGCTGAGTCATGGAGCGCAGCCAGACGCATTCCCTACTAGCCTCATGAATGGCTAGGATTTCAGCATGGTTTGATGAAGTGGCAGTGAGTGTCTGCTTCATTGATCTCCAAGAGATGGCTGTTCCTCCATGCGTAAAAACGTAGCCAGTTTGAGACTTGGCAGTGTGCGGATCTGATAGTTATCCTGCATCGGCGAAGCCGACTAACCCATCTTTATTTTGGTTAGTATAGAAGAGTCCTAAGTCTTGAGTACCTCGAAGGTATCTTAGGAGATGTTTTATACCGTTCCAGTGCCTCTGAATTGGAGATGAACTATATCGAGCGAGGAGGTGACACGGCGAAACATATGTCTGGTCTAGTGTGACTAGCCAGGTACATTAACGCTCCTACAGCACTGAGGTATGGCTTTTCAGGACCAAGGATTTCTTCATCATCCTTTTTGGGACCAAGAGGGTCATCACTTAAGCTTCTAACTACCATTGGGCTGGTCAATGGGTGAGCTTGGTCCATATTAAATCGCTTGAGTACCTTTTCGATATAAGCCGATTGATGCACAAGGATTCCTCCTTTGATGTACTCAAGTTGTAATCCCAAACAGTACTTTGTTTTGCCTAGGTCTTTCATTTCGAATTCTGCTTTTAAGCAGTCGACTGTTTGGGAGATCTCACCAGATGTTCCGAGGATGTTTAGATCATCCATGTATACTGCTATGATTACAAATCCTTTGTTTGAGTACTTCTTGATGAAGATGCATGGACTGATGGGGTCATTTTTGTAGCCTTCTTTGATGAGGTAATCGCTGAGGCGGTTGTACCACATACGCCCACTTTGTTTCAGTCCATACAAGGATTTGTTCAGCCTGATGCAGTATTGATCTCGAGATGCATTTTTGTCTTTTAGTTCAATGTCATCTGGGAGTCTCATATATATTTCGTTGTCCAGGGGCCCATAGAGATATGCGGTTACAACATCCATTAACCGCAGATCAAGATTTTCTCTTATGGCCAGACTTATGAGGAATCGGAATGTTGTTGCATCCACCACTGGAGAATAAGTCTCCTCATAATCGATTCCGGGTCTCTGTGAGAATCCTTGTGCTACAAGCCGTGCTTTGTATCGAACGACTTCACCGAGTTCGTTCCTTTTGCGCACAAAGACCCATTTGTGGCCCACTGGCTTGATGTGTGATGGGGTCCGGATGATCGGACCGAACACGTTTTTGAGTTTGAGACTCTTTAACTCCACGTTTATGGCTTCTTTCCATTTTAGCCAATCTGTTCGATGTGTACACTGTGTTATTGACGTGGGTTCTAGATCCTCTTGCGTGAGCGCAACATCAAGTGCTACTTTGTATGCAAAAAGT